GTGTGTGTGTGGTCTCTGTACAGCACCTGGTTGCCTACAGCAGAAAAATGAATGACGTCACAGCTGCTGTTGTCGTAGTTTCTTTGTAAAGTTTAATAAATCAGTTCGGTGGCGACGATCACAGCGAGTCACGTGACCTCTCTAGTCGTCTCCATCATTTCAGGAGTTGCTGCTGATCTCTGATGGATTTATTTCAACAATTTGACAATAAAGAGATTTGATGCAAAAGCTGCATTTCCTTCCACATCCACCAGAGGCTCCCGCAGTCCTCACAGTATCAGACACAACCTGATAAAATGTCCAACCAGCGTTCAGTCTGACCGAACGGAAACGCCTCCGAGAGGAACATCAGGTGAAACACAACATGTTAAAAAGGAAACAGAAAATAAGCCTTTAAAAATGTTCATGTTGTTCATGTTTATTGGAGAAGCAAACGCTACAACATTCAGAGTGAAAGTAAATGAGGAAACCGCTGAATCCAGCTGTACGTCAAACTGATCCTGGACCAGTTACAGCACGGCGAACATGGACAGCAGCATGGCCAGCAGCAGAGCCACGGACAGCCGAGCTCCCTGCGATCCAGCTGGAAAGGAAAGGAGCGTCGTGGTTAACGTGCACGTCACATGATCTGCACTCAGAGCTGAAAGCTAAGCTAGGCTAGTTTTTACCTGGTCTTATTAAACTCACTTATGATATGAAATAATTCTTTGATTGGACTGGAGACGCCTTTAAAAGCTGGCTGTAGCTTCAGCATCTTGTATCAGTGGTGATGAGCAGTGGGCGGGGCCAGAGTTTTTAATGCGAATGCCTGACGACCAATGGCACCAAATGATACGGACTTACGACAGGTCTGTAAGCAATGTACAGAATTCTTCCTTTTTATAGATGAAATGATTTATTTCATCTTCAAAAGTTGTGAGGTGGCGAGTTGATCTGCGAGAACGTGAACTGACCCTGAACTCAAGCCAGACTTAAAAGACGAGTCTACCTGAACCTTGGATAACAGACCGCTACTCTAGAAGAGCGTCAGACGAGGGCAACGCACCTGTGGTAAAAGAGCCTTGCGGCGTTGTGAGCGAAGGCTTGGCCGTGGTGGCGGGGAGCAGCATGTCCTCGGTCACGCTCAGGGACCCGTTGTGCGGCGCTGGTTGGATCTGCAGCAGTTTGCACATCAGAGGGTAGATGTGGATGCTGTCGAACGGCTCGGACAGGTAGCTCCTCTTGAAGCTCGGGCCGAAGGCCCTGAAGATGGTCTTCATGTCCATCTCAGTGTTATGGAAGCCGTGGTCACCTTTATTCACGTAGACGATGAATCTCTGGTGTGAAACGATATGAAGTCGATATACGTTCTCTAGATTTGTTGAATTTTGCTCTTGGTTCTTGGAGGTAAAACGTTGGGGTACTTACAGAGTTCAGGTTGAATCCCAGATCTGCGATGATCACGATGGGAGGCAGACGCTCACTTTTGGCGAGATGGAAGCTTTCTGGAATCTCATTTTTCTTGTACACCGTGATATTGGGCACGTTGGAGAGGGCGTCAAAAACTTCCTGCTCCTTCCCCGGATGTGGCGTCAGGATGCCAAACCCACCGTAGTCGAGAATTTCAAATTTAGCGACCTCGAATAAATTCAGGTATTTGTTGAGGATGACCTCGTCTACCTGCGGCTTCTTCTTTACTGTGGTCATGCCGTGGTCAGAGGTGATGATGACATTCAGCCCGTCGGTCAGGTTGTGGTGATCAATAGCGTCCTTCAAGTAGCCGATGGTGCGGTCGATCTGACGGATGATCTCTTTCCGGTCCGGCGTGTCCGGCCCTTTGGCGTGGCCCACGTTGTCTGGCTCGCCGTAGTACAGCGTCACCAGGTGGAAGTCCTCCTCGGAGAACCAGCTCATCACCGTGTCGATCTTCTGACGCCACTCGGTCTCATTGTCGTCGGGGTGGCCGGACTCCTCCAGTAGCACTCGATTGACCGCTTGGCCGCTGTAGTTGGCTCCGCCTCCGGGGAAGGAGAAGGAAGCTGTTTTCAGACCCTGAAATTAGAATAGTTGAACAGAATGGTAAGCACCACATCGCACTCCTGCTCTGTGATCGTGTTATGGCTGCAAACAGCCCAGAAGTGTTGGAAGCACTCTCGCGTTCACAGGAAGCAGCCAGATTTCATCAGCTTGGTTTCCTGTTTTTTATCAGTGATGTTCCTGAAGAATCCAACTTTTCCTCGAATTAGACAAACATAGAAATCGCACCTTTAGATGTGGTCTACTTTCTACATCTGGTGCTCTCCTGCGTGTTTGGTAAAATAACCACAGTGTCCTCCTGTGTCAGTGCAGCTCATCCTTCACCCCGACTCACCTGGTTCTGAGCGGTGATCCACAGCGGCAGAGCTCCGTTGTCCCACCACTCCGATCTTTTCAGCGTCTCTTTGTGAGGAACTTTCAGGTTCGTCTCTTGGTTGAACATCAAGTTATGGACGACTTCATGATCCTCCACCCATCGGCCTAAAGAACACACAGGAAGGTTTTAGCACATTTCACTGCACCACTCTGGAAACTGAAAGCAGACAGAAAGTAAGATCCTTTATTTGAGAGGGACTATCAGAGGTCGGATATTAGTGATCTTTTTATTTAGGAGTTGGAGACGATGTGAAACGCCGACAGAAGCTGAGCCAGATTTTAGGTTGTGCATGGCCTTCGCTTTCTTTCCCCACAGGTAAGGAGGTAAATAATCTACAGATTGTCTGGAGGGATTTGCACACATCTGTGTTTTACTCTATGTGCAACTTCTGAGACATAAATGCATGAGGTCACAGGCTTGAATCCTGGACAAGCAGCAAAGCAAGCAGAGATGTTTGTGCTGCACAGCCGATCTACACTGTGCAGGCTGAATCAGCAGGTATCACCAACTAAACCAATAAGGAAGCTTTTATTGGCTGAAAGGCCACGAGGGAGATGCATTAGCGAATGTTCCTCCCATCATCACAGGCTGTCCTCCAGGCACAGCTAACAGACCAGACCGTGGGATGGGCGTCACACACGGTCTGCAAAAGGTTCAAGTTGAATGTCAGAAAGTGTGGCGGCGTCAGCAGCTGGTTAACATCATCGTCGCGTGTCCGTGACCCTCGGCTCAGATTAAACCTGTCCCTGGAGCAGCAGTCGCTGGACTCTGGTCTCGGACGGGTTTATTTCCCAGCAGCACCGTCACAGCTTATCTCTCTGGCTTCCTTAACTACATGGACCTAATCTGAGGTCACTGATTTGATGCATTATAAATCAAACTGCTCACATACATGACAGCTAACCCGTCTGATAGTGCCTGTGAAAGCAGTTTTTAAATCATGTATTTATTACAGATTAAAGCTGCACTCAGAGGCGTATTATCAGCAGCACGTACTGATACATCAGCAGTAAACTGACACGTTATGGAGGAGCGTGTCTGCTCCAACTCGCTGATCCTGATGATCACAGTCCAGCTGAGGCCGGTTATCAGCCCGACTCTACTGTGTGTGGCTCCTATCCAGCTGTTTTTAGCACCACGTCTGCACAACCTGTTCTTTGCTGCTCCGGTCTCGTTTTTTAATGTCTTGGTCACAGAAATTAATTCATATTTTCAAAAAGCCTTAAAATAGTTGTAAAGCAGCTAAAGCAGACAGCTCTCGCAGTTTGTAAATTATAACTTTTAAGATATTGATTTTTTTCTGGAACATCTCTCCCAGATTTTTTCCGAATCAGAGAGACTTTATTAATCCCAGGGGGAAACTGAGTTTTCATACCTACAAACACCCAGCATAGGGCTGGGTATCGTCACTGATTTCTAGAATCGATTCAATTCCGATTCACAAGGTCCCGAATCGATTCGATTTGAATCTGGGAAATTTTGACAGTCAGAAATATAATTCAGATCTGCCCATATCTGTCATATTATAATTCAGATCGGTACATTTACATATTTTTGTATCTATAAAAAGGAAGCTGACACTTTCGAGACTTTATCACAGGTGTGAGCATCACAGCGAGGCCTTTGTGTCAAAGTAGCTGAAGATAAAACAGAAAAACATGAAGGTGATTCTCCTGTTCTGGGATTTTATAAAAATATTCTGCAGGAGATCAAAAACGAAAGAAAACCATTAATCAGCACATGAACATCACCTCTGACGTTACAGAGGTTTTATTAGAGACACGGCGTTTTGCATTTTGCATAATTTTAAAAAGTTTACATTTGTTCAGTATTGAACGGCAGAAATGAGGTTTTCTTTTTGGAAGTAAGTAAAAGGAAAAAAACAGCGGCCGACAGCCTGTAAGCAACAGTAGACTGGTGCTAACAAGCAAGCCAATAATGAAGAAAACAGAGAGAGAGAGAGAGAGAGAGCTGTGTGGTGGAAGCAAAACAGTGAAAGTCAGAGTGAATCATGACGATGTTCATGTGAAGCGTTTGGATCTTCTTTTGCTGCTGGTTCGGTCAATATTGTTGGAGAGACATCAAACTAACAGCTTTAGAATCGGCTCATAAAGGGCGTGAACACACAGCGCCGACAGATCAGAGTCAGCGAGCTGTCGGCTTCCAGCCCCGACCGTGAGAAAGTCACATCTCACTGATTCTGATCCGCGGGTCGCGCTGTGTGTTTAAGTCTCTGTGCAGAAGCCTGTACCTGCTCTCATTTACTGTCTTAGCTGTTTGGTGGTTCTTGAAATTTTGTGAGATGTCACCAGAGATTCTGGCATTTTGGGCAAAATAAATTTATATTAAAAAATCGATTCAGGATTTTAATGAATCGATTTTACGTTATCCAAGCCAGAATAGATTTTAATCGATGAATCGATTATAAAAACCCAGCCCTAATCCAGCACTCATGTAAGTGCAGAGACAGATATTAGTAGATAAAGACAGAGGTATAAATACAAAAGGACACAAATATATTTCCGTTCATGTCGATCAGACAGATTTCAGCTGCATCATGAGACTCCGTTCGAGTTTTGTTGCTCCTGTACAAACTGGAACTGGCAGGTTTGAGTCTCACTCTTATCCTCACTGACCTGCACTGGCTTCCTATCAAATACCGTATTGATTTTAAAATACTATTGCTTACCTTTAAAGTTACACACCACATTGCTCCCAGCTATCTTGTTGAACTTCTCAGCCTGTACACTCCTAGTAGAGCACTGAGATCTCTTGGGGGAACCAAGGGCACGGTTGGAGACCAGAGGTGATCGTGCTGTTGCCACAGCTGCAGCCAAACTCTGGAATGACCTTCCTACTGCTATTCGTGAGTCTGAATCAGTCCAATCTTTGAAATCGCGATTGAAAACCTTTTTATTCAACCCAGCCTTCCCTAGTTAGTGTCTGTATCCTGCAAATGTTCTTTATGTAGTTTTAATCATTTAAATGTCATTTTGTTGTTGAATAGTCGAGTTGTTTGTATTTTCTTTTACATATTTTCACTGCGCTGTGGCTGATTAGTGCTCTCCACCTGTTGGTGTATTTATTCCCTGTTAATGTTGCCTTTCTATAAATGATTGTGTTACTGTAAAGCACGTTGGTGTACTGCTGGTTTTAAATGTGCTATACAAAGTTGTACTGTATTGTCTTGTACAAATATTAAGTACTTTCAGGTATTTAATATTTGTACAGTGTGTGTACTTTCCAGCGCATGCAGTAATGCAGTACTGGCTGTGACCGCTGCAACTTTGAAACTAAATTGATATTAAAATGAAGTTGTCATGGTTACCGGTGATGGTGGTGAAGTGGGACGGCGAGGTCATGGTCAGCATCGGAGGGGTGATGTATTTGGCCTTGACCCCGTCCGCAGCCAGCTGGTCCAGGTTCGGCGTGTCCACGTCCTGGTCGTAGTCCCACCTGAAGCCGTCGAAGGAGATCAGCAGCAGCTTGTTACTCGTCATCGCCGCCTTGCTCAGAGGCTTGGCGGCAGCGCAGACGACCGCCGTCAGAACCAGGAGCAGCTGTGGCCTCATCTTCATCTTCACTCCGACTGACTGCAGCTCGGAGCGAGGCTGTAGCTGCTTTACCTGTCCTGCACACCTGTGGACCACCTGGTTAATGTGTAATCGTGTCTGATAGAGATCAGCTGACATGTGTGAAGCACGAAACCTTGGAGCCTCAGCCACTTATCAGGACTTGAGCTGACCTTCTTGATCCGGCTCTGGCTGAAAACCCCATTGCAGAGTAATTACAGAGTTATTAGTGTAATTACAGAGTCTGAAACCAAAGTGCGCCACCTGTACTCCTGAACTGATAACAGAGCCAAATGCAATAAAAACAGAATAATACACAATGATAAGCAGGAAAAAACAACACATTTAAATAAGTGTTTAAATAAAGTGTTGGTGACGATGACGTTTATTACAAACTGTAGAATACAATGAAAACGTACAGAGAAGCTGCGAGGAGATGAGTCGTGATTTCTGACAGGAGAGCGGCACGAGTGAAAAGGAAGGTTTAAAGACCGAGGTGAGGCCTGCTGTGAAGGTCTGAGCATGTGCGGAGGAGGGAGGAGAAGAGGAGCTCAGGAGGTTCATGGATGGACAGCAGGAGGAAGTAGAAGAAATCAGGAGAAACGCGAAGTGACCCCGTCCGCTGGTCCTGGGGCGCCTCTGTCAGTGCGCCCCAGGACAGCTGTGGCTACAATGTAGCTGCCATTGCCAGTGTGTGACTGTGTGTGTGACTGTGTGTGTGAATGGGTGTGTGACTGTGTGTGTGACTGTGTGTGTGACTGTGTGTGTGAATGGGTGGATGTAGCGTAAAGCGCTTTGGGGTCCTTAGGGACTGAGTAAAGCGCTATACAAATGCAGGCCATATTTCGTCCTGCAGGGGGCAGTAATGCACCAGTGGAGGCCGCACTGACAGCGGAAGGATTTCCGGGTTGTTGAGAGGTCGTGGTGCTCGTGCCGCGACGTCCTTGATAGATTTCACTGGAATGCCGTCAATACTTTGACCGGTCAGAGTTCCGATTCCTTCCGCCGGCGTGGAGGCTGTTTGTCCGGGACTCTCAGCAGGTGTGCGTGGAGCGAGCAAACTTCCGGTAACCCCTGTGTGTGTGCGCGTGTGTCCTGAAGCTAGCCGATGTTAAGCGTTAGCCACGCTGTCTACGTATAAACATCAGCGCGTGCACAGGTATGCTCCTTCCACAGGAGTTTAGTGCAGGGGTGGGCAACTCCAGGCCCCGAGGGCCGGTGTCCTGCAGGTTTTAGATCTCACCCTGGGTCAACACACCTGAACCACATGATTAGGAGAACCTCTGGAGAACTGCAGGAGCTAATTTAGCCTTTAAATCAGCTGTGTTGGTTCAAGGACACCGGCCCCGAGCCTGGAGTTGCCCACCGCAGGTTTAGTGGAACAAGTGCACGCGTTCAGTTCTCGAGTTTAACAGACGTTAAACGCTGACGCGTGCACGAGGACCCACCGAGAGCTGCTGCGTGCTCGCGCGTAAAAACAAAGGTTTAATTCTAAAGCAGCCACGGAAAGCTCGTGTCCTGCTGCCAAGACGAACCTTTTAGTTTCTTTTCAGCTTCTTTGTAATCAGATGAATTCATGTTTCATATCGAGCAGGTTAGATTACGGTAACACGTCACTGGCTCCCAGTCCTGCACAGTCGCCTTTTAAAATGGTTTCCATCAACTCAAAGCTCTCAGCGGCTTGTTCTCCGAGTACGCCACCAGAACCCGGACACACCTGTCGGCCACCAGCTGCTGGTCTTTGTGCCCAGATCAGATCTCAGAGCTGAGGATGCTTCTAGTTACTGTGGTGCTGTTCTTGGCACACGCTTCCTGCTGACCTGAGGTCAGTTACAGAAACTGTTGTAGCTGTGACCAACCAACACCACCTGTACTGAAACGAGATGGCTGTAAACATGCTGTTAAAAACTTTATAAAGCACAATTTCTTAAATCCAGCTTCACACACAGTCAGTTCTAGAGAGCAGGGCTCCATGATGCAAATGAGCCTTTATACACAACGTGTTTCACGTGCAGTTTAACAGCTGCAGAGCTGCAGTTTTATGTTTTTGTACTGTTACAGGTGCTGACGTGTAGTAACAGCCAAACTGACCTCGCAGGGAGGAAGTAAAGTTTCACAGCCGATGAGCGAGTCCAGCTGTCAGTGAGCTGTTTGATTTATAACACGAGACTTTGCGCCGACGCTCGTCTGACGGACAAAGACGAGGACCGCTCTGTTTCCTGAATAAATGCCAGAGTCCTGTGACGAGTCGTCCCAAACGCGTCGCAGACAAACGTTTGATTTTAAAGTGCTGATGAAAAGTTTGGGCGGAGCTGACGTTAAAAGATGCGACCCGCTGAGGGGTCAGGTGACCCAGCCCAAAATACCAACCTGAAATAATCGAGTGTTTGATGTGGGCGTGTCAGCTGATGGTTGACGGTCTCCTGACAGATGTTCTCGTCTGATGTTTCAGGAATGGCGTCTCTGTGGAGTCTGAGACCGGCACTGACGTCGCTGATTCAAGGTGAGTGTCAGACATCAGGTGAACAAGCGCCGACTTTATTTCAGCGTTTAACCATAAACCCCTCCCTCTGCAGCGTCCCAGCACGCCTCTGCATGGACCGCCCCCCTCCTGTCCAGGACCATGGCCACGCTCAACCAGATGCATCGCCAAGGGAAGCCCAAAGTCCCTCCCAAAGCCGTTGGAGCCACGTTTGGCCGCCCCCAGCTGAAGGCGGTCATCCTGAAGACGATGATCCGAAAGCCCAAGAAGCCCAACTCCGCCAACAGGAAGTGCGCCCGCGTGCGGCTGTCCAATGGGAAGGAGGCGGTGGTGTTCATTCCCGGGGAGGGGCACAACCTGCAGGAGCACAACGTGGTGCTTGTGCAGGGGGGTCGGACACAGGACTTGCCCGGGGTCAAACTCACCGTGGTGCGGGGCAAATATGACTGCGCTCACGTGGTGAAGAAGAAGCAGTAGACTGACTGTGGGGGGAGGGGTGCAAGGTGTGTGTGGTGACCTCCTGCCAGCGGCGGCGACGGTCCTGAGCTTCACTCAGCTCCATGTTTGTGATGATCTGCTGTCAGTGTCCAGAATTAAAGACACTTCCTGTTCATCCTAAAAAAACCCACACTGTTGTTGTTGTCGTCACTTCAGTTTGAGTTGGTGTTTGTTTACAGCACGTGTCGAGGTCACATTTCAGAGGGAAGTCCCTAAAAAACAGGCGGCGCCGCCTTTCACAGAGGCAGCCTCGCCGCCGTGTTGCATATTTGATGAAGAGATGAATAAGCTCAAATATTCAGTTTGCCTTCATGTGGGAGGAAGAATAAAATAAAGGCCTTGGCTTGACCTGTGTGATAACCTGTCCATGAGTTCCAGGTGAGTAACCTCCAGGTTGTTGCAGTCTCACCCGCAGAGTTCACAGGTGACTGTGAAGCTGCTGCAGATGTTGGTGAGGCTGAGGTGAAGTATGATGACGTAGATGGAAACATCTGGCTCCTTTTGTGTCACCTCAAGTGTGCGTGAGCGCACGCGGACGCCCGCCTCTCGCTGCAGTGTTGTTGTAGTTCACCTTCCGGCCAGCGGCGGCAGCACTGTTGGGTTCAGTTGGGACTCACCTGCTGTCTGGCTCTTCATTTTTTTAAAAACATTCTCTGGTTTTCAGTTCTCCTGGAGTCGGTGTGAGTGCTGCTGACAGACAGGTGAGAGCTCCATCCGTACACCTGCAGGTTAGCTCGCCAAAGGCGGCTGTGAAGCCTTTAAACCGGCGCTCCGCCTCCATCACAGCTAATTAGCGTTAGCATGCGCTAGCCGCACTCACAGCTAAGCATCAGCCGCTCTGCTGTCAGGGATGCTCCTGTAACACCGTCGGGTTTAGATCCTTTTTCGGGCGTTTCTTTGCCCATTCTGTACGGACGAGTGTGTTTGAAGCTCCGGGCTTCTCTCTGAACGCTTTACGTTAACATAGCGGGCTAGCTCCTAGGCTAGCTGATGGGCTAGCTGGCTGTCCGTTTGATGCTCCGAGTTAAAGCACCAAAAACCATCAGCGTGAGCTCCGAGCTGCTGTCTGTGTGATCAGGAAGCTCCGAACACACGCTTTAATGCTCACAGTGCGGTAAAGGAAGAAGAAACAGACAGTGAGAGCAGACAGACACACAGCGCTGTGCAAAAGTCTTGAGCCACCTCATTTCTTTATGTTCTGTGATGAAAATGTGAAATATGTGCAAACACTGAACCACTCGGGCAGCTTCCTCCAGCAGCTCTCCGGCCTGCTGCTTTGGATGTTTCTGCCGGTTTCTGCCACACTGCTTCAGGGGTCCGGGCTCTGGGGAGGCCCATCCATGACTTATGGTGTTCCACAGTGATGGTCCCACACCTGGGGCTCAGGTGGGGCACAGAACAAGAGAAGAGGGCAATTTCTAATTTATTTGGAGCACAAACAAAATTAATTGAACATTTAAAAATAAAACGTACACATGGATTTCAAACGTACTGTTCATGTGGACGATGCACATTTGAACAAAGTTTACTTTTTGTATGAAAGATATTTTTGTTGGTTTGTATTTATTTTGTTATAAAGTGACTTTTTAATAGCTTGAAGCTTAAACGTACATTCACATTTTCTGTTCAGTCTCTTTCGTCCTGTAGCGCTGGCACAGTGTCCTGTAACGTTATAATAACAGTGTTCTTACAAACACACCGATGTGTTTCTTTATCTCAGCACAGCTCCCTGTGACCAACAGAGCGCAGCATGCGGTGCCCGCGGAGTCGAGCTCGGCTTCCTGTGTCGTTTTGCCGTCGACTGTGCGGCAGCATCACGTTGCTCGCGACTGTTCAGTACTTAATCCCACAATTGATCTGAGTCTAAAACTGCCTGTGGCGATCCACTGCATGTGTTTCTATCCAGATGTGCTTTCACTGCGCTGGCAGGTGCTGCCAATCAGATGTTTCTAGATGTTCCTGCATGGTGGATCAAACTCTGATGATCATACTTGATCAGTTTGATCAAAGCTCTCCAACGCTGGCTGACATGCAGCTGAAACCAGGACAGAGCCTCCACCATGTCTCACAGATGGCTGCAGACTCACTTTTGGACCTCCTGACCACCTCGCATATACTGACCATGATTTGAACAGATAAAGGTTAAATTCTCCTTGTTTCCCTTCTGTTGGAGAAGTGGCCCCCAGTAGGGTAGTGGTCTGTGGGGAGGAGGCGTCCAGTGATACGTGGAGAGGTCCGGAGGATGATGAAGTTAAGCTGAGTGATGCTGTGTGCAAATGGAGAGGAGGCAGGGCTGCGGTGTATCGATCTAGCTGATTCAAAGCGACCGATCAGTGAAACATCCGTCAGCGTGGAGCGCCGAGGCTTCTTTTCAGGTCACGAGGACAGAGGAATGAGAGAAGACTCCTGATGCTGGTGAGCCACGCTGGCTCATCGGTGTGTCATCAGGACAGAGTGGTGTCGCAGACGCTGACGAACGTTTAAGGTTGATTAATGTTTGCTTCTGTCTCAGTGTGAGGATTCACTCCAGCCGGGCGACGGCGGCTTCATGCGGCTCATCTCAGAGGAAACCAACCAGGCTTCAGGTACGTCTGCACACTAACACTCTGGTGCTTTCACCGTGAGCAGGAAGCTTGTGTACAATTGTTTATTGGTCGGAGCGAATGTGGTTCAGGGACCGGAAGGTCGCTGGTTCAATCCCCTGCTCTGTCTGTCCTGGTCGTTGTGTCCTTGGGCAAGACACTTCACCTACCGCCTACTGGTGTTGGCCAGAGGGGCCGATGGCGCGATATGGCAGCCTGCCCCAGGGCAGCTGTGGCTACATCTGTAGCCTCCACCAGTGTGTGAATGTGAGAGTGACTGAATAGTGGTGTTGTAAAGTGCTCTATAAATGCAATCCATTATTATTATTTCAGAAGCCTGAAGGAGACGCATCAACACTGAGGAGGAGAGCATGAGGAGATGAATGGAGTGAAGGAGGAGCCTGAGGAAACAGGAGAGGACTGTCAGCAGCTCCCTGCTCAAGGTTAGGGACCCTCGTTGGGTTATTTTAGTGTCAGAGTGGAGTTACGGGGGGAGCGCTGATATCAGGCCAAGGCTGGATCCAACAGCTCTGCAGGTATCAGCAACAGGCTGCAGGAGGAGCGTCTGCCCAGCGTCCTCCTCTACCGCTGCTCTTCTGATTGGTTTTCACGTGATTCATATTGAAAGTTGAAATCCTTTAAAACGTGATTTTAATGATCATTTATGTGTTTGTGTCCTGCAGGGGCGGGGCTCGATCCAGGTGTGCAGAGTCTCTCTGTACCAGATGAACCGGCTTCAGACAGCGCTCACCGGTCAAAGCGCCGCCACCGGTGCTCGGTATGCGGCCGGGAGTTTTCGCGTCCCTCCCGCCTGGTCGATCACATGACCGCCCACACGGGCGAGAAGCCGTACAGCTGCTCGCTGTGCAGCAAACGCTTCACAAAGAAGATAAACGTGGCGGTCCACCAGCGGGTTCACACCGGAGAGAAGCCCTATTCCTGCCCCGACTGCGGTGTCAGCTACGCCCAGCTCAGCTGCCTGCGGCGTCACCGGCTCGGCCACGCCGCAGAGAAACCCCACTGCTGCTCGGTGTGCGGGAGAGGATTTGTCCAGCGGCGCCACCTCGTCCAGCACGAGCGCACTCACACTGGAGAAAGGCCGTTCCTCTGCTCGCTGTGCCCCAAGAGCTTCGCCTCCAGGACGGGGCTCGTCGACCACCAGAAAACCCACACGGGACAGAACCTGTACTCCTGCTCCGTCTGCGAGAAGGTTTTCTCCACGGCGTCGTCCTTCAGGGATCACGTGAGGCTGCACACGGGGCAGCAGCCGCACCCCTGCTCGCTGTGCGGCAAGAGCTTCAACAGGCCGGGTCTGCTGAGGAAACACCTGCAGAAGCACGCCGAGCAGATCCAGGTGGTCAAAGTCGAAGGTGTCGACGGAGAGGTGAGTGTTACACAGGTGTGGTCACATGACTGCTGGAAGAGTGAAAGGAGGGATTGGTCTTAGTGAACAGTTTCCTTAGAAGTGTCACATTTTCCTTTTGTGTCGTGACTTAAAGTAGGCGAGAGGCTCGCTGTGATTGGCTGTTTCTGGCTCACGCGCCGCTCCTCGCAGTTTCTGTCTGTCATAAGCAATAAAATCAGGTTCAAGCTCAACGAACTGAAGCTTAAATTCACTTAGTTTCACTTAGTGTCACGCTTTGCCCTGACCTCCTCCAACTTCACACTGAAATCCTGGGAAAAGAGGTGGGAATTCATTTGGACCATTCAAGCAGAATTCAGGACTCGGACGGATAACAGGAGAAACGCCGTGGAGCTCACAGCGATCCAATTCAGTTTTAAAGCTCCAAAGGTTCTTTATGTTGTACAGTAGACCCTACAACAACACACACAGAGACAACCACCAACAATCATATGACCCCTATGAGCAGCACTTTGGCGACAGTGGGAAGGAAAAACTCCCTTTTAACAGGAAGAAACCTCGGACAGAACCAGGCTCAGGGAGGGGCGGGGCCATCTGCTGTGATTGGTTGGGGTGAGAGAAGGAAGACTGACGTTCTCTGAGGAAACATCAGACAATTCCCAGTGAAGTCGAACAGTAATGTGTCCCCCCACAGCTGGAGAACCAGATGTTGAGCACCAGGTGTTAACCTGACAGCAGAGTGCTGGGACAGGGTCCCCTCTGCTCTCCTGGTTCCTCTCAGGGATCATTTTGTCTCTTCAACTCCAGGTTGGACTCATTATGGTAGTCGACGCCCTTCTGACCCCCGAGTCTGCGATTCGATTCTCGGGTCTTTATTTTAAGACACAAGGTGTCGCCACAGAGGGCGAGATATCGGGTGTCTCGTCTGCACTCAGACAGACACTATCAGCATTACCTCTGTTTACTCTCTGCTTTCTCTTCCCGAGCCTGGTTCTGTCTTCCTCCCTGTAAAGATATAAAGCTGCTGCTGTGAGTTGGTTTGAGCTAAAAGTTGAAGCTTCAGGTTGTTCTCCGTCTGTCTGAAACTCAGGGGGAGATGAATCTTCACTGCTTCCTGTGTCAGAAGGACTTCTTGTCTGTGGAGAAGCTGCTGCAGCACCGGCAGCTCCACCAGAGGGCGCAGCAGTTCACCTGTGGCGTCTGCGGCCGAGAGTTCGGCCGAGCGTCGCGGCTGAAGGAGCACATGCGCTCTCACACCGGAGAGAGGCCGTACCAGTGCGACGTCTGCATGAAGCGCTTCTCTGTGCTCAGAGTGCTGAGGAAGCATCAGGAGATCCACGGCAGGGAAGAGTGCAGCACCGCCGCCGCTGACGACCAATCACAGCCTTCAGACCAGCCGGTGAGCAGTCAGCCTCGACTTCAGAAACATGCAGAAATTGGAAATAAGTGCAGAATGTAAGAGGATTATTTGACGTCCTCGATGGAGGACGTGTTTGAAATGTAGGAGCCGCAGGTTAGCTTCATAATCTGCTCACAGCTGATGCAGGTAAACTGACCTCAGATCTGCGCTCTGTTCCAGAAAACGGGTGAATCGCTCAGCGGGATGAAAGTGGAGAACGGGAACGCAGACTCGGCGACCGGTGAGAAACTCCAGCTCCTCGTTTCAGACGGGTCGGCCCGTTCGCGCTGCGGCAAAGCGGCTTTTCATTTCATGCCACACGTTATGTTCTCCACAGTTTAGCTGTCCGTCCTTTTAGGCTGTGAGAATCCACGGAGGCTTTTTCTCCTGAATGACTCCAGAGTGTAAACGTTATCCCTGAACATCCGTCACATCTCAGCTAACACCTTTCCTCGGCGCCGGTGTGCTGCTGTTGGATGTTGGCGTGCTCCTGCGTGTCCTACAGCAGATTAGCTGGCGAGGACTCGGGAGGTCTGAACAGCTGTGGAGGACGTTTGCAGAGGGTTGTCAGGTCCGGTGATTGTGAATAATTCTGCATCAGGGACCAAAATAAGAAAAAGGATGTGACATTTAAAGTGACTGAGCTTATTGTTGTGTTTTAGAGAGTGGAACAAGTTCCTCTCACACTGGTCAGCGTCATTCGGGTGGGCTGTGGCAGTGGGTAAATCTGTGTGGGTGGGAACAGGCTGAAGGAACCGTGGAGCTTAGGTTTACACTGAAGCGAGCTTTAACGATACGGCACCAGGTGACATGAACAGCTGAGTTACGCACGTCCTTCACTCCCTCTTCCTGTTCGTTCTCAGACGGGAGCACCGATACTCCGAAGGGAAGCTCCTCCCACAGCTGCCTCAGCTGTGGGAGGAGCTTCCCGGGGATGTCGGCTCTCTTGGAGCACGCCAAGGTCCACGACTCGGAGAAGCCGCACCGCTGCCCGGTATGCGCGAAGATCCTCAGCAGCGCGGCCACCCTGCGAGTGCACAGGAAGACCCACATGGCCGACAAGCCGCACGCCTGCAGCATCTGCCCCCGGAGCTTCCTGAAGCCCTGCCTGCTGCGCCAGCACATGAGGACCCACATCAGGGACGGGCTCATCGCCGACCCCGCCGACAAGGTGACGCCCAGACTTCAAACCTCTTTCATCTGAGCGTGCGTTTGACTGAAGGCGGGAGATAGAAACTGCACTCAGATCAGATTTTGTGCATCTTTCAGGTGTTCTGGTTCGACATGAAGATCGAGGGCGGGAAGGTGGAGCTGGGGATGAAGAAGAAGGAGGTGGATGAAGGCGTGAATGAGCAGGTAAGAAAACAGCTGGTCTCAGGTGAACCTGTGTGCAGGTCTGAGGTGCAGAACGAGGTCAGCACAGAACGCAGCAGCTGTAAATGAAAGGCCTCACCGACAGACGCTCCGGTCCTCTGTGTGAACCCGCGTGCTCGCCATTCACATCACGTCACAGTGATTTTAAATTACTTCCATTTATCTGGAGACATAATCACGCTAACATTTAACTGTAGTTTGATTTCCTCCTGTCTTTGTCTACTTCTACAGACCTCCGTAGATGTTTTCACCGGAGTTGAGCCCTCTATTAAGAAACCCCACCCCACTGAGGGGCGGGGCAACAGCGAGGAGCGTAAAGAGCCAGACGTGAGCGGGCTGATAAACTCTGATGGTGAGGAAGAGGACTGGAGGCCAGCGCGCGGCAGTGAGTCTTCATCTTTAACTAATTAGTTATTGATTGTTCCTGACTGGCTCTGTGAGGGCAGCGGCAGTTTGGTTTTTTCTAAATGATGATTGGATGGCTGCATGTTTGATCCTGAAACGCTGACTGCCCTCATAAAGCCTGCAGGCACTCTCCTCAGCAGCAGTCGGTGTTCCTCTGAGTTCTCTCTGATGTCTCTGACAGACCCTGACGGACCCACAGACCCTGACGGGCCCACAGACCCTGACGGATCCACAGACCCTGACGGGCCCACAGACCCTGACGGGCCCACAGTTCCTGATGTACCTTTACACCCTGATGGATCCTTAGATTGCGATGGGCCCACAAGTCCTCGCGGACCCTTGAATCCACAGGCCGACAGTGGGGCTGATGGGAAATCACGGCACTGCTGCCCCGTCTGCGGGCGCGACTGTTTCAAAGCGTCGGCGCTGCAGAAGCACCTGCGGATCCACTCGGGCGAGCGTCCCTTTCAGTGCCCCACCTGCAGGAAGAGCTTCATCCAGCACGTGCACATGACAGAGCACCAGAGGATCCACACGGGAGAGAGACCCTACACCTGCAGCATCTGCAGCAAGAGCTTCACCTTCTCCAGCGCGCTGCGCCGGCACCAGCGTCTGCACACCGACGCCCGGCCGTATCAGTGCCCCATCTGTCCTAAGACCTTCAAGCAGCGCAGCTCGCTCAAAGAGCACCAGCTGACGCACTCGGGCGTCCGCTACCAGTGCCCGCTGTGCAGCAAGAGCTTCAGCCGCGCCCTCGAGCTCACCTACCACGTGGACGTGCACTCGGAGGCTCGGCCGTACTTCTGCGACATCTGCCAGAAGAACCTGAGCGGAGCCCGAGTCTTCAGGAAGCACATGAAGAAGCACGAGCTGCAGCCAGCCGGGCTGAGGGAGGCCGGGACCTCCTCGACCAATGAGAGTCTCTGAAAGCGGTGAGAGAGGGAGGCCCGTGCTGGGAAAACCAGTGTGGACAAAAGTCAGCGAGTAACCAGTGAAACCAGTGTGAGTTCAGCCTCAGATATTAGAAGGACTTCAGAGGACGCGCTCGGTTAAATCTGCCTTAAAGGAAAGGTTCTGAGATGCTGTTAGCCCCGCCTCAGCTCACTTCCTGTTGCAGCTGTCATTACATTCCTGTCGTGGACGCAGTGAAGAAACAGGAAGAAGCATGAGCCTTCAGCCTGTATGCTAAGCTAGGCTAACAGCATCCCAAGTAACAGAACGAATCTCTGCCTCCAAACGATCCGGCCGGCTGATTGGACCACACTGACCCTTTAACCAAAGTGCTTTTGGTGCCTGAACCACAGACGCGTGTCCGGATGTGACCCCTGAACTTTGCCGACAGCTTCTCATTTGGAGGTCACGTGTTTCAAACGAGAGGCGTGGTCACGAAGGGTTTTTCAAACTTTTAGTGCTCGTTGAATATTTGGTGCTACACATCAGCAGCCCTGGTTCTGATTTCATTTCTATAGAGGTAAAACAGCTGATATACGAAGGTCAAAGGTCAGCTACACAGAGGCCTTCGTGCTGTTGTAGAGTCTGAACTAAAAAACTGTCCCTGGACCAGTTTGTACACTTTTAAAGTCACCAGGTCTTTAAAGCCTCTGAGCTCACCTGAACCTGAACCTGAGTTTGTTTCCGGAGCTCGAGCAGCTGCGTGTTCCTGCAGAACCACAGATTCCTCCACTACAACCAGGAAACGCTAAAAGACGAGTGCTGAACGCTCCAACACTTCATCGCATCTTGAGGAAAGATCTGTGGAATTATGTCAACAACAGAAATATTCCCGTCACACGACTGATATTTTTCTACCAGCAGGTGGCAGTACGCCTCTATGAACTCTATGAAGTTTTATATCTACACTCACTGCCCACTTTATTAGGTACAGCTGCTGAGTTTACAGAGTACAGATCTCTGGAAGAAACTGCTCGGGTGGTGCCCCAGATCAGAGGAGAATGACCAAACTTATATAACTTATTATAACAAAGGTATGCAGAAGAGCGTCTCTGAGCACATCACACCCTGAAGCAGATGAGCTACAGAATATCTGCCACAACATCCAGGATCTCTCTGTCGGGAGGGCGTGATGGTTTCTTGGCGCGTCCGTGACAAGTTCACCGTCCTCCAAACGCCTCCACAGTCACCACATGTCATGGATGCGGTCCACAGCTCTGCAGTAAGTTTGTGATGGTGTCACGTCAACACGGAGAGTCTCTGAGGAATGCTTCCAGAACCTCGTCGATGCTGGGAAGAAGAAACAGGGTCCAGTCCTGTACTGGCAAGGTGTAGCTAATAAAGTGGCTGCTGGGTATGATTTATCTTCTCTTGTTACAGCAGCTCAAGTTAAATACAACAACGTGTAACAGGGAGCTTAAATGAGTGGGATTATGTGGCGATCGTGGCTCATCGTGGCACCGCAGCAATTTCCTAATGTTGTAAACCTGCCCAACATTTGGCAATAAACCCCATTCTGATTCTGATTCTGATTCTGATTCAAGAGTTGGGAGTTCGTCTTGTAATCGGACGGTTGCCGGTTCGAGCCCCGGCTTGGACAGTCTCGGTCGTTGTGTCCTTGAGCAAGACACTTCACCCGTTGCCTACTGGTGGTGGTCAGAGGGCCCGGTGGCGCCAGTGTCCGGCAGCCTCGCCTCTGTCAGTGCGCCAGGGTGGCTGTGGCTACAACGTAGCTGCCATCACCAGTGTGTGGATGGGTGGATGATTGTGTATAGTGTAAAGCGCTTTGGGGTCCTTACGGACTAGTAAAGCTATACAAATACAGGCCATTTACCATTATGTCCATGAATGAAACTGAAATCTCCGCCAGGTGAGAATACCTGTGAGAGTTTCTACGTCACGTCCAGCAAACCTTTCACTTCCCCATGAGGGATTTTCCCACGAGTTGTAGATATTTCCTGTGTTTAAATGTTTCCATGTTCAGTCTGTGGGAAGCAGACAGGAATCTGAGGTGTCCCAGCATGGAGAGAGTTTATAATCTGAAACATTAAACTGAGACCTTCACAAACTGTTCGTGCATTTTATTATTTACATATCAAATGCATTTATGGGGTAAACGACCGCCGTCTCTGGGCTGTTCGGTGGTGTGCAGAGCACCACCTCTGATTCTTAGCTACATCTTCGCTCACCCCAACCGGCTGCAGCAGATGGCCCCGCCCCTCCCTGAGCCTGGTTCTGCTGGAGGTTTCTTCCTGTTAAAAAGGAGTTTTTCCTTCCCGCTGTCACCAAAGTGCTGCTCACAGGGGGTCATGTGATTGTTGGTGGTTGTTTCTGCTGATGCAGAGTTTTCACTCTACAGTACGAAGCACCTGGGAAGGAAAAACTCCCTTTGAACAGGAAGAAACCGCCCAGCCTCAGGGAGGGGCGGGGCCATCTGCTGCGACCGGTTGGGGTGGGTTTAATGTGTAAGCACACTGTTTTTTTTTTTTTCCTTTTTGGCGTGCTGTTTTGGACTGTGGGGGTCCATCAGAGAGAGCTTCACCAGATTGGGCATTTGCCAAGAGGCCTGGTACCACTGGATGGCACCGGAATTAAACGATTCTGTAGCAAAGCAGTAGGAGGCCAGGATTGCTCCAAAGCACCAAAACAGGACAGCTCAGCGTGAAGAAGCCGCTCTCAGCTCTTTAAACGCTCCGACGCGTCAAAGCCGAACGATTCTAGGACGAGGCGTGGTCTGTTCCACTCCTGATGTGTTTTGGTCATCTAGTGATGTCACGAACATAGATCATTCATGGAAGTGAGACACAAACAAACAAATACCACTGAAGCTCTTCCAGAGTAAAAGCTCTGCTGATCCTGCTGACTCGGCTCCTGTTCATCAGGCGCTGGCTCGTGTCTGTTGCTGTGAGCTTGGAAGAAGCCAAACACCTGCTCACAGAGCCTCACTGACGCCTCCAGGTGTCAGACACCTGCAGCACGGCCTTCAGGCTGCTCGCGTCGAAACATCTGGAGATGTTCTGCATATTTTTAGTTCACTGGGTTTTTCCTGAAGTCATATTTATTTAGTTCTCTCTTAATTATGTCCCCCATCTATTTACTTACCATGTTAATTTCACTTCCTGTGTCTCTTCCTCACGTCGCCACAGCTTGTGCAGGCCTGGTTACTGCCTGTTACTACAGTTCACAGTGCAGGAGCTAACAGCAGCTAACGTGGTTAACTCAACACGGTGCTGCATCTACTTTTAATTTCTTTTTATTGTTTCCAGCTTCACCTTTTCTTCAACTTCTTCCACAATAATTTTTTTTCTACAAGCTGGAACAGCAACTAGGGGAGGGGCCTGTGTCATTAAGGACTCTGATTGGATATTCCAGGCCAACCCTGTGGGCTGGTAATTGGGCCTGCAGCCCGGCTCATCGGCCCAAAAGTGCGCTGGCCCAGGGGGAAGATGCTGTGTGTCCCAGATCAATTTTGTTTTTATAATTATTATTGAAGACATTGTTGAACATCTTTGAAAAGGGGGCAGCTCACAGTACAGAAGCACATGTGGCACAATCGAGCCGATCATGTCAGAGTGTGTCTGCTACGGTGGCGACCCGGGTAGTGAAGATTATTCGAACATTCAAGATTATTAATAACACAACGCAGATTAGTTTGCTTTGCAAATTCCATCAGTTGTATTTAACAGAAATGGATATATCCTTTGTTTTTATATCCTTATTTAACAGATTTTTGACGTCTTAGACTTTGAGTTCTTAATTCAAATTCATCGTCTTGATTTTATTTTTGTACATATTAAAAATGATAAGCAACACCTTTGCAGGAGGTCTCCTCTCTCCAGGAGCTCACTGCTGGTGGGGGAGAGGTGTAGGAGAGGTGGAGAATGAGCTCAACCTGGGTGTTTATTGTCTTGTGTAGTCTGGGAGATGATTGGATGATGGGTCGGGTGCAGTTTTCTCTGCAATGGGGTCGGGTGGGGCTGCCCGGGGTTATGTGGGGCTGGGTGGTGCCGCTGCCGGGTGCCCCAGATGGGCTCCGGATGGGCCTGGGCCCCCTGGCCTTGGTGGACTCCAGGGAGCGGGGGTGCCTACTGGGGTCAGCGGGGCAGCTGGCCCTAGGGAGGGGCCGCTTCCCCTTCCTTTCTTCCCTCCCCATCCTCAGGTGCCTCCCTCTTCCCGCTCCACCACACCCACACACATGCAGGGCTTGGGGTGCAGGTGTGTCACTAGGGTGGGGCACTCCCCTCTGTCCCCTCCTGACGCCTGTGCCTCAATTTTATTCTGCAACCTAGACATCCACATTACTCACACTCTCATAACACCTACATATAGGGTCTTGGGGGTGGGCACGCTACACGGCATCCAGAGGATGGTCTGTGTATTCAAACCCACCTCTGGCGCCGGTGCCCACCTCTCAATTTGAAACGCGTATAGACACTGAGGGTTTGGGGAGGAGCCGTGCTGCTCTCTGGCAGGAAGCACCGTGACCAACGTTCCCTGTAATGTTTCACGTGTCTGAACACACAAACTCCCTGAGCGGACACTCGGACCACTGTGGGCGACAGCAGACGTGCACTGTGGTCACGCCAGCATCGCATCCATCCAAGTTACATGTTTATTAAAGTAATCAAATTACAGCATTAAAGGCTGGGGGGAGGTTTGTCTTTGCTCGCAGGCTTTGTAGCGTTTTCCTTATAAAACGCCGTTTTTACCGTTCCTTCCCACAGTAAATATAAACAACGACAGTATTCAGGAAGAAAAACAAACATTGCAGATATTTTATCATAACTC